TGAGACCTTTGAAGAATAACTTGAAATTCAGTTTGTTCCCAAAACATTTGCACAAATGAGAGTCTTGAGGTTTGAGCTTTTTATTCTAAAGATGCAGCTACTTGCCCAGAAGGAGAAAAATACTACATGCCTGTATTTATAAATGGAGTTATTAGTATTTGAACACTTTACCTTGTGGCCAGCTTAGGAGTTGTTATTCAGAGGTTTAAATTTTACCTATAAACAGCACTTTGGATCTGCTCAGGCTGGAGCATACCCAGTTTTACTGTTACTGTCTTCCAACCCCTCCCACTGACACCAGGGTGCTGACCTCCCCATCTGGCCCTGCAGACCAGGAGCCTCTCTCTGAGTCCAGCCCTCTCCCTGCTGTAACTGGTCTGCGGTGTGGAGACCAGTTCTTGGAGTGGTTTCTGGGCCCCCTTTGCTGTCCTTGCCCTGGAAGGATCCTGCTCTGCCTGTCTCAGCAGAGCAGTGTCCGTGTGTATCCCATCAGGAAGTGACAGACTTCCGCCCCCAGTCTCACAACAATCAACATATATCCTGGTCTGAGGTAGCATCCATTTCCCCCTGTCCCTGAAATCCCGTCCTGGGTGTTCTGTGGTTCCAGCCACACCTGTGGGTCACCACCATCTCATGGCATCTCTCTTGGGGAAGTGGGCTGAGGGCAGACCAAGTCACAGAAGGCCCCCCTGTGATCAAAGCTGACCTGTGAAATGCTGACCTCTGCCAGCTGCCTGGCCCCCTCTGGGAGGCCGCCGTGTGCAAGTGAGCCCTATGTAGCCCACCTGGCCCACGAAGGTCATGTGAGCATGAACTGCCGTTCCGAGTTTTTCCTTATGCCACGGTGCTGACAGTTTCATGAATATCTAGCTTTTGGTGCTGGCTGCAGTCATTGGGCTGGTACTGCACCCAAGGTGATCATGCACTGGGGCGATGTTCTGCCTCTGATGCACCCTGATCCTTTCCCCATCATTGTGACAGCAGTACTCTGCAGGGACCCTTTCAGCCCCATCCCAGGGCCTCTGCTTAGTGTGGCCAGAGCCTCCTGTCAACTAGTGTTTCACTGAATCCAGGTTATTATTGTTTACCAAATCCCACTGGTTCTAGATCCAAGCATAGCATACCTGATATTCTCTAGCCTGTGTGTCCAGTTCCCAGCCCCTGACCATGTGCAAGGTTGCCCAAGAAAATCCAGCCTATAGGTCTGGGGTCAGCTAGAGTGAGATATGTGATTGTGACATGTGGCAGGGCTCCCTTGCCACTCTGAGGGAGAGTCCACTGTTTCCCGAAGATCAGACTTCTCGACTCCACCCAGTCTTCCTGCCTCTTCACTGGCCACTTCCATCTGTCCATTCTCTCTCTCCTCACACCCAGGCGCCCTGCTAGGAAAACTTCCGGGTCTGGGAGTCTGTAAAGCTGTGAGTGTTGCCTTAACTTTGCTGAGAAAATGCTTAGAGAAATTGATTTCCATCCCATTCATCAGCCCCTGTGCCTGCCTGTGCTCCAGAGCTGTCATCTCCTGGTTTGGATGGCTGCCCTGTTGGGGGTCTGTTAAGGTTTTCTTAGTCCGAGTGGCTTCCTTTTATAGGCCCCCTCCCCAACCACTTGGGCCACCGTGGAGCCCTGAGGATCATTTCTGGATCTGGGACCTCCCACCAACTCCCCTGACATAACAATCAAAGGTACTCAGTAAGTTTATGAACCGTCCACTTTAAGGAATATTTAGCATTTCTGTTAGCCTCCAAAGTCCCTGGGAACATGGCATTTAAAAGGCTCTGTTAGACCACAGGCCCAATTTATTGCCAGAAATGTGCAGGTAGAATAATACAGACCCTATGATGGCATCTGAAATGGTATCCTATGGGAAAATTAATGAGTCCTGTAACCAAATGCCAACAGCCTCAGCACAGTACTCATGAGGGAACCGAGCATTGTGCATGGTGTTTGAAGTCAGGCAGCCGGGGGCTGTTTATTGGACGTGCTCTCTGTCACCGAGTTCTGCTGTAGACTCAGGGCTCGAGGCGAGGTCTTCCTTTCCTTCTGTACTGGTTCCCAGAGCCGGGCTCCTACACACTGGAGAACCCAGCTGTTGCTATGTGGACTGAAAAAAGGACATCCCTGAGCTGCTGCAGCTTTTCGTTTGCATGTCCCTCCTAGGAAGCTGGGCTGCAGAACAAACCTACCCCAAACCCCTAAACAAAGACACAGGCCAGTGAATGGGCAAGCAACTTGGAGAGCAGAGTGCTTTAATCTCATGGGGGAGACTTGCATATTTAAATTCTAGCCTGGAGATTGAGAAGGATTAGGAGATTATTCCAAAAATGGTTAGAGAAGAGCAGGTCCTGGCATTTCTGTCCAATCACAGTGGCCAAGGGGGACTGGGAAAGTGGCCTGGTCCTTGTTGCCTCCAGTGGGGTGAAAAGAGGATGGAAAAGATGTGTTTGGCAGATGTAGGAATGGCCAGGCCAGTCTGAAAAGCCCAGGCATTCTGAGCAGTGTTTGATTCTCTGTGTTCCTTCTGCCTGGTTGGGTGGTGACTCAGAGCTAGCTGGAGAGATGGCCAGCTGCCCCCCAAAGAGCTTCCTGGGTCTCACGACCTTGTGGGGCATGTCTCTAAGGTGGCCCGCCTGTCAGGGAGACACAGGTCATCCAACAACACAACTCCGCTTTAGCCAATGCAGGCACAGGGCCCTGGAGAGGGCGGGGACAGGGCACCCATGCCCGGAAAAGAAAATTAATATTTTTCTCTAGAGAAAATGAAAAGTGGTGCTGGGTCCAAGTGCTAGGTGACCTTGCTTTTGAGTTAAAATGCTGCTGGGAAATTAGAGAAGATAAACATGAAAGGAATGCAAATGAGTGGCTGTGGCCATGGGCCCAGAGGCCCAATTCCTCTGCCATCCACAAGGGCTGGTTGTGTGTGCCTATAAATAGACATTGAAAACCCGATTCTAAATTGAGTGAAGATGTGGGCCTGCTTCCTCTTATGGAAAGGCATTACGTAAGGTACAGTGTGCTGCCGTGTTCCCAGGCGGTGTGAGGATTCTGTGCCTTTGTTGGGGATCTTTGTGAAGCATGCGGGGGCCGCTCAGGATGCAGATGAATAAGACTGTTCTTTCAGGAGACTCGCAGACTCTGGGGAGGCAGAGGGAGCTCTGTGGCTCCCTCCCCCAGGGAAGGAGGCCGCGGGCACGCCTCCCAGGTCAGGAAGCGAGTCCTCAGAAGGGCTCTGGGTTTCCCTGAGGTGCTTCTGGGCCAGAAGCAAGTGGGAAAAGATGACTCCAGGGCAGACAAGAGGTGAGGACACAGTGGCGCTGAAGAATTCCTAGGTTTTTGACTCTTCCCCACCACCCACCCCCCTTCTTGGGCTGGTCTTAACTGCCCTGAGCTGGGTGGGGCTGTCTGAAGAGGACAGGGGCTCACAGATCTGTTTGGGGTTGCAGAGCTAACTTGTACCAGAGTAAGGAATTGAGGCCCCGCTCATGCCTCTCCCAGCAAAGGGTTCTTGCTGCTGGATATCCTTTGGTTCATGCACTGACCCCAAAATTTCTTATTTTGGAGAACCCCAGATGGTGAGCTTAGGGGTGAAGAGGGAAATACTATTTGATGCTAACGTGGTCCCAGGTGGTGTTCTACGGGCTTCATTGCCTTTCACCTTCCCAAGCACCTCTGAAGTGGTTCTTTCTGGCCATGTTTTATACACAATGCAATGGAGGCTGGCAGGGAGAGAGGGTTGCCGATGTTCACACAGGAAGCGAGCGGCCCACGCTGTCTCTGCTTTGGAAAGCGTGTGTGTGGTGCTCACTTTGGGCATGATAAAGAGGACTCCTTGTGAAGGGTCAGAATCTGTGAAGCTCACAGGAACAGGCATTGAAAGGCAACCTAAGCACCATATCCTGGAAAAGAAATTGAATAACAATGCAGATGTCAAGCTACTCCTGAAAAGAGGCAAGTCATTTCCAGCTGCAGCCATTTCTAGCTCTCTGGCTCTCTTAACAGGTGACTGGGTCAAAATGGACAGATCCTCAACCTCTCAGAGATATCCAGTCATTTCCTTTGTATCTGAAACAGATGCATTTGCACAAGGCCATTGCTGTGGTGGGGGGGTGGTTTAAGAGAAATTTCCTAATTAAAACCCTCTGCTTGAAATGTCTGCTCAGGGAAATGACAGCGACAGCGACTGTCTGGCTTTATTTGAAAAGTGATGGTGCCATGTCCAGATTAAACCTTCATGATGAAATAGTTGCCATGGTCTATCTGTACCCTGTTTCCTTGCCTCAACTAGTGATGCAGACCCGGGACCAGATTAAGGTGAACTGTCCAAGCAGCACAGCTGTTCATGAAGGGCTTCCAGCCCTGCCTGTTCCAACAGATGAGCCCCCAGAGAGGAAGCTGCCATTGCTGTAGTTTTGAAAAGAACAAAGAAAGTCCTTTATAAACTCTATATGTCTTTAGCCAAATTGGATGGAACAGAGGAATTTAGATATGATGTTTTGGACAAATGAATGCCGCTCTTCTTGATCCACCTCGGCTTCCTGCCCTTGACCTTCTATTGCCCTCCCCACGAATTCCTGATCCAACACGAGGGCCTGGCCTTGAGGCCCTGCGGTCTGTTGGCCTTCCTCTTCAGCTGTCACGGGCAAAACTTCTCTAGTCAAGGGAAGCCTGAGACCTGGTGGTCTCTTTCTCATTCTCTTTATGGAGCCATCTTGCTCAGGTGGAAGGGTGGGCTGAGACCCTGGCACTGGAAAGGGGAGGTGGTCCTCCTCCTTCTCTCTTTCCTTTAATCATCCTTCATTCCCCTCCCACTCCCACATGCACATCAGCCTCAGTCTGAAAGTGTCATTGACTCTGCAAGCCAGTGGGGTCAAGCTTTGTTGCGGGAAAATACATATTCATGAGGGCTTTGAGGTACTTCATTAAGATGCGGATAGATTCTCCTTTTAGAATGGTGCATAAGCCATCACTTTATTTGCCCAACACGTTGTTCTTAAGGCAATAATTATGTGATGAATGGCTAAAGAAACGTCTTAATTATTTGTTTAGGGCAATTTCTGATCATCTCATTAGAATTATAATCTGTTCACTTTTACAGGTAATTCAGAGTCTCTCATTTAAATTTTTATACTTGAAGGAGCACTCTATGAGCGCCTGTGTCATTGCTGAAACCAAAGTAATTTCCTCTATTTCCTTCTGCTTTATTCCAGAAAGATTTTATCACCAGGAGGTTTTTCGGGACATTACCAAACCACTCATTTTCGGTAAGAAATATGATGCAGACTTGCATGGAGTGAGATTTTGCTCTGACAGGTGGGAATGGATCATTTCACTAGAGGGACACCACACTGAAGGTGGCACTGGGTAATTGCCAGGGTGCTTTGTTTCTCGGGATCCTGTGTGTGTGTATAATCCGTACCTGTCTGAGCTTGGAGCATTTGAAGAGGGGTTTTGAGTCACAGCCAAGGAGTGGATGAACACTGGGGTCACAGCTGGGCACTTTGCCTGAAACTGACACCTCTGCCCACCACCTCATGACAAAAGCAAAACACACACTCCTTCTGTCCTCCCCTCATCATGCTGCTGTTTCTGTAAACCGTAGTCCTCATCAGACTTCATCATTGATGTGTGTTACCCCTACCCAGATTTCAGTTTACACTGAAAATAGATACATGGCAGAATGCAGTGGCTCATGCCTGTGATAAGCACTTTGAGAGACTGAGGCAGGAGGATCACTTGAACCAGGAATTTAAGACTAGCCTGGGTATCATAGTGAGACCCCATCTCTACAAAACATTTTTTAAAAATTAGGTATGGTAGTACGTACCTGTAGTCTCAGCTACTTTGGAGGCTGAGGCAAGAGAATTACTTGAGCCTAGGAATTTGAGGCTGTAGTGAGCTATGATCATGCCACTGCACTCCAGCCTTGGTGACAGAGTGAAACCTTGTCTTAAATAAATCAATAAGGGTACCTGCATAATCAACATTTGTATACCTAACCCTGAATATTTTAAAGATGTACCCCACATCTTTAAAATTAAAAAAAATAAATAAAAACATTGACTTTTTTTAAAATCAGCGGTGTACTAGAATGCTGATTTCCTCACATTTACCAACACTGGTTATTATTTTTTAAATCAGATATAATTGAAAAAATGGTAAATAAATAAATAAAAGAGAGTAAATACATGTATATTACCAACAAAAAATAGCCCTTGAAACTTTTCACTATCCAACATGGGCAGTTGCGAGTCTTAATTTTGAAAAGTCAGCCATTGTGAAATACCAGGAAACTGAGAAGAAGAAATCTAACTTTGACAGAAACAGGCCTCCTCAACTTGCCAGGGATGAAGGGTAGTCCATGTTGCTGTTGCCCTGTGTGTGAAGTGGTGCTATGGTCCTGATCACACTGACCCACAGTTGGCATTAGGCTGGCTCTTGGCATAGGACCTGTAGGAGCAGGACCCAGGTGCCAGACAAATGCAGGGCCCAGGAGAGACGTGCAGGGGATAGATTCTGGAATGAAGATGAATGGGCTCTCTTCTTGGTCAAGAGACTGTACACAGGTGATTCGGTTGTCAGGAAGCAGGTGTGGGGTGTGTTTGGGGAGTGAGGAGTGGAGGGCAGTATTGTTAGAGCGAGGAAGGTGAGCCAGGCATGGTCTTAGTGTCCTGGTGCCCAGAGCAGGTCTGAGCTTCTGGTGGATTCTGTAGGTTCTTGATGTATTCTTAAGAAGGAGCACCTGTTAGGCTTGAATGTGGCCCCAGTTTAGAGTGTTATATAGCAACGGCCTTGGGACTCCCCAGGAAAACTGTGTGTTCCACTGGGGAAACTTTGTGCCAAATTTGAAGCTAGAGAGGAAAACCAGCAGGGCGAAGATGGGATTCAGGAGTGTCAAGACCTGGGTTTGAAACCACTGTTTTGCTCTCAGAAGGCCACAGGTCTTGCTATCTGAAGCAACTGAAAGAGCGTTACTTTGTCAAGCAAGGCCGCTTCATTTATTTCACTTTATGTTTTTTTTTTTTTTGAGTTGGAGTCTCACTCGGTCGCCCAGACTGGAGTGCAGTGG